CACACAACACATCAACACATCAACACACAACACATCAACACACAGCTCAAATAAACTCCTCAGCTCTTGACAACCTCTGAAAGTTCACTGATTAGAAGTTCGTTCAAACACAGATGGGCTTGAGGAGAAATACTTTTTAAACTGCTGCGACATTACGACAGAACATTTTAAACGCGTTTTATCGAAATAACCTCTCAGCTGAACTGGCAACAACAATAAATTTCTTTCTCCACGAGGGACAATCCCACATCTTACTTCCACCAGACTTCAGACACACTGTGAACATGGTCGACCGTGAGTTGCTATAATGAACAAAACAAAAAAGTTAACATCACAGCACCGTGAACACACCACAGACACTGTGGATAGAGAAAACAGTTCAAATGAATAACCAGATAAATTCATCCGCATGGTTTATAAAGCTGTTTGCACTGCTGGCGAATCACCTTCAAAATCATTTGTCAGCAAACAAGCACAGATGTGTTCTGTTGCCTGGAAGTGAAAACTGCAGTTCACAATTTACATTTGTTACTTGATCATTTAAAGATATTGAAGGTGAAGATGCCAGTTTGATTTTCATTATCCAGAATATTTTATGAAACATCGTTAAAGATTCAGTTATTACATGATGATGCATTCAGAGAGTCGCTCAAGCTCCAAAAATGGAGAAGTGCAAGTCATATATTTGTGAGTAGTAACTTCCCACCATTATATCTCATGACAACACAGTGTGGGGCTGTTCAGTGTTTTATAGCTGACAAATACTTCTTATCAACAAGGGACAATTTGACTCAGACACAGGAATGTGGCGTGTTTCAGATATTTATTTGTACAAATGGAAAGCTTGTTTGCTCCTTTCCTGATAGAAATCAGTAATATTGAACTAAATCTTTAACTGTGGTAAATGTAATGTGAATGGGAAAAAAAGAACTTCCTCTTTGTCTCTATTTTCTGTTTTTTGAGGTTTCCCAATATCATTATGAATCGACTTATCATAAATAATCAGTGTGTGCTTAGTGAAACTCGTGGTAAGCTGAAGCTGCAAATAGTAAAACACTACAGTCTCTGCTTTGCTTTGAACAGTGTGGAGCACAGTATGTAGTTGCAGTGGCAGGATTAAATAAGTGAGACTGAACAACACAAATGTTTCCTTTTTGGGGGATTTATGATTATAAACACACTAATTGAGTTTGAATAAAAACCATTATCGTTACAGTCGTGTGACTGTGTGACCTCGGTTTTTTCAGGTGTTTTTGTTTGATGTGGGTGGAAAGACATGGAAGTTCTACAACTGGAGCATGGTGACAACAGTGGCAACATTTGGAAAATATGATGCTGACCTCATGTGTTACGCTCACTCCAAAGGAGCTCGAGTAGTCCTCAAAGGTAGGGTAGCCTTCAGAGGGCGAGAGGGCTGAAGGAATTAGTCTACATCAACATGACATCACAAGCTCTCTGCTGTTTGAATAAAGCTCCAACTTTAAATTGTTTCAAAGATTGTCTGGCAAGCCAGAGCTGCATCTTCTCCCAAATTCATCGCTGGTGTGTCTTTTAATACCACAGACTGCTGCAGTCACCAGTTCATTGACCCATTGTCCACCTCTCCTACCTTGTTCAAGGTGACGTTCCCCTCTCCTACGTTGTGGACCAAGATAACAGGACAGCGTGGATAACGGAGAAAGTCAATTTGGCCAAAAGTCAGTTTATGGATGGAATCAACCTCGACATTGAACAAGCGGTGGAGGAGGGCTCGCCAGAGTACCATGCTTTGACAGATCTGGTGAAAGAGACCACGGAGACGTTCCACAGGGAGATCCCAGGATCACAGGTGATGAAGATGTTTGACCTGGTTTGATTGATTCCTTTTCAAAACTCCATCTTCATATTTAACTGTCCCTTACCTCTAGGTCTCATTCGATGTTGCCTGGTCCCCACACTGTGTCGACGGGCGCTGTTACGACTACGTCACCATCGCTGAATCCTGCGACCTGCTGTTCGTCATGTCCTACGACGAGCAGAGTCAGATCATGGGGGACTGTATTGCCATGGCAAACGCTCCGCTCAATCAAACTCTAAATGGTTTGTTGTTGTCCAGTTGAGCTCAAATCAGCGCGTTAATACAAAACTACACATTACTACAATATCCACTGTCTGTTTTCTGTCCTTTAAGCTTACGACGAGTATTTGAAACTGAAGATCGATCCAAAGAAGCTAGTGATGGGAGTTCCATGGTACGGCTATGACTACGTGTGTCTCAACCTTTCCCAGGTAATGTTAAAAATATTTTTCTGCTCCTCTCATGTGAATATATCATATGACATATATTATATGACATACCTCACTCTCCACACTCATCTATCATACACACCCATTTTATTAGGCGGCCTATTTAAGCTGAGAACATTTCCCATCACTCCCTTGCTTGCCTCCGCTGCTGCGTCAGAATTGCTGCAGGTTCTTCAGCCCCTCCACCACCCCAGCCTCCTCCTGTAAGCTCTGATGGGGGGTTAGAAATACTCCTCACTCCCATCACATCTATGGAATCATATCTGGGGGAGTGAACGTTTGAACATGAGTTGTCTGACTAAACTATACTTGTGTAAGGTGCTAATTAGAAGATTTTAGCATTCAAAGACGCTGACATAAAATCATGGTAGAAATTATACTTGCTTATTTGTTATTGTGAGCACTGTTGATGTGGTTAGCTCTCTGAATAGAACTGAATAGAAAAGAATGCCATTATTGTCAATGCACAGCTGTACAACAAAATTGAGCGTGTCTCCCTGAGTGGTATGTTCAGTACAGTATGGTACGAACACGTCTTGTCTTGAGTAACAGATTATGATACAGATCACTTTGAAATTAAGTGTTTAAATATTCTAATAAGCATGTTCAAACTATTATATATTATTGTTGTAGCTTTGTCTGAAATGTAATCTCAGATATCCTCTTACGTCTTCTCCTTTAACAGGAGGGAATATGCTCTATAGCCAAAGTTCCTTTCCGTGGAGCTCCCTGCAGCGATGCAGCCGGGAAACAGAAAACATACAAGTGGATCATGAAGCAGGTCAACAGCTCGATGTCTGGCAGGATGTGGGACAGCAAGCAGGAGGCTCCTTACATCAATTACAAGGTGCATAAACTTTATTTCAAGAACTTCCACCATCAATTTGAATGGTAGAATAGGATTTACCAGGCAGAAAATAAACTTAGTGCGCAATTATGGTTGCAGTGTAAGAATTGTTGAGATAAGGGTCTAAAGTTCATGATGTGGAAGTTTCTGCTGCACTGACTTTCATCATTATGTTTTAAAATCCTATTTTCATGTTTTAGAAATTCCTTACTTGAAAATGTGTGCTCACTCTAAGGACTATATTTGTCTCCCTGCCAAGGTCGAGCTTCACCAACTTCACCTCCCTTTAGTTCTGATAAATTACGACTCAACAAATCAGGCAGGCATTTCAGGCAAGGGCTGTTTATCCAAAGTGCCGGCGTCCACCCGAGCTGCTTCCCAGACAAAACAAATCAGCTCTTCCAAACAGCAGTAAAACTTTCCAGGCGAACGCCTTCTTGTTGGGTCTAAATGGTTCTCATTTTAATTTTTCTTTCTTTCCTTTCTTTAGGACGACATTGGACGTATTCATCAGGTTTGGTATGATGATCCACAGAGTATTTGTGCCAAGACGGACTATGTGACATCTAGAGGCTTGAGGGGCGTTGGCATGTGGAACTCCAACATCTTGGACTACAGCGGCGAAGCTGTCGCCAGGCAACAGACGGTAATGATGTGGAATGCTCTGTTGGGATGCTAGCTGGGATACACTCAACACTGGTGCAGAAATGTTCACCGCCCCTGAGCCCACTCCTGTTTGTTGCTAAGTCAATATATCCCTTTGTAACAGTAGAGTTCAGGGATACCTGCACTTCAGAGTTTATTGTGGCTTTTATTGCTGTCGTGTTTGGATGTAGTCACATCTCAGACATTCCTCTGCTAAATGAAATGACTCTGATGCTCTTTTTAATGTTGTTTGCACTGAATATGTTTGATTGAACAATGTGGGCTTGTTGGGGTCTGAGCGCTATTTTTCATAAATAAAACATTTTTGAATAACCTATAATTGTTGAAGTTACTTTAACACGTCTCAGTAACATTTAAGCTGCTTTCAGACATGCACTGAATGGAACTACAGACATTTTCCAGAGGGGCTGTTTGTGAGCATACAAATATCTGAGTCAGTTGCTCTGGAAATAATTTTTTCATCCCAGACTCATTGTCAGAGTGAGAAACTGAATGTTTTGATGTTTTAAACACAACAGGTGCAAAACTGGAAGAATTCAAATATCTCAGGGTGAAAAATATATATTCCTGATCTGCTGCTACATTATGAACCATTCTGACCTCTCAGATCGTGAGTCAAAACTAAAGGTGAAGAATCTGTGTTCAGTTTTCATTCTCTACTTATGTGGAACACACTTCCAGAAAGCCATTGGTCTGATCATTCTCACTTCTTTAAAATGAAGGCTGAAAACTTTTATGTTTAATGTTTTATTAAATTAAATGATTTCTCATCTCTTACACAGAACTCTTATATTTCTTATTATTTATTCGCTATTTAGCTCATTTTCATTTCAGTTGTACTGCTTTTTAAAATGGACTTCAATTCTTTCAATTGCTTTGTTGAAATGTGCCAAAGGAATAAACTTTACATTAGCAACGAGCTAAAGGACCTGAGAAAAATGACAATAATAACACTGTGAACGAGTAACTCAGGTATGTAACAGTCGACAAATAGAAAATTCAACTGCATGAACTCAAACATATAAAATCAATCTGTCTCAGCAGAGTGAAGCACAGACGGCATCAGTCATCCCTGTATACAGTGATTTAGATGGAGGTGTTTTGAACTTGTGGTCTCTCCCGTGTCGTATTCCCGAAGCCAAGATGAGACGACTGGCTTTTCTTCTGGGCCAGTTCGGCCTTCAGGGCCCTCAGCTCTGTGGCAGCCTGTTTCCTCAACTACACAGACATGGAACATATCACAGATTATGTGAGTTTACTATTTAGAGAAAGTGACACTGTTAATTATTAAACATCAATCGACTCACTCACAAGGGACTCTTACACTTGTCAGGTTATATTCTGATGTTAAAACAAAGAAAAAAAAACAACCTTTATCTCCGTCACCAGCTTCATCTTGGCATCTTCTACGTTCCGCTTCAGGTTGTCAATCTCATGACTCTCTGTCATGATCTGAATGATGAGCTCATTCTGGAATAAAACATATTTCTTTTAATTTCAAAAAGGTGATTACAGTACTTACTATACAGTATTTGTGCTTAATATAACCAAGCTAAAAAGTTTATAGAGAGCGGCAACATATTCTTTAGGGAAAGAATTTGACCAAGTGTCGTCCTCTAACTTAAAATATTAAAAATGGACAAAACAATAGTTAAAATATTTGTTTATTGAAATTTTCAGGTAAAAGTAACTAGATGACATGTGCAGCATTATAGTTGAACAGAAAAGAGGTGACAAATGTAATAGGAACATATCAGAAGTCATTTTTTCCCAGTTTATAGTTTTACACCCATTATAACATCAAATTTAAAGTCAGTTTATCTACTCTTTGATGATGAAAGTATTTTAAACAGATTTTCTCCAGGTATATAGAGACAGAGGAACAACCATTTTGAACAATGTGATCAGTTTTTCCTTAGCAATCTCTCGCTGATATGGATAAAACTAAAATGGTCTTTAAAATCCAGCAGCTTTCACCTTGATGGAGGATCTGCCTTGTCGTCTTGGCTTCCCTCTGTTATCTCTGGCCTGGAGCTGGTGCAAGAGTTTGTTGTAAAATGTCTCCAGCTCCTGTCGCACCTTTCTCAGGCTGTCCTCCAGTGGTGCTGTGGCCTTCTTGGTTTCAAAATATTTCTTTTTCCAACTGTCTCGGGCTTTACAATGAAGGAGAAGGACAGAGCATCGGCAGAGTTCAGTTGGATGTGAAACAAAAGTTTCCCACCAAAATAGCAAGTGTGGCCCAAACGTCACAAAAGAAATGTGGGGCCTTGGTTGGCAAACATGCGGTGCTCTATGCGTGGAATCTGGATGTGAACATAAAGAGGCCTGTGTGGTAAATGGTGGACATGCAGTATAGCTATGGCTAACTTGTGGCTCAGATCTGGGAAACAGGGAGGACCACCCAAGTGTTATCATTCCAGGCGGTACATGGGCTGGGTGTGGGCCAAATCTGATGAGTTTCAAGGTGCAGTTGTAAAATGATTTCCCCTCAATTGCTGTGGCTCAGGGGGAGAGCGGGCCACAGCAAGTATATGATCACTGATTATTGGCTCCTTTTTGATTCCCAGATTTCTGGCGAGTACCTTTATTGATTTGGATCAAACTTGTATCTTTTTATTTAACCGTATTGTGTTCCCACCTTGGTTCCTCCTGTGTCTGTTCTGGGCCAGTAAATCTTTGCCCTTTCTTAGCAGCTCCTGCCTCGTCCACTCCAGCTGCCTCCTTTCCTCCCTCACCAGCTTGATCTCCTCGATCAGCTCCTCTCCTGGCGGAAACAAACCTGTGTCACTTGTCTTAAAACAAGGCGGATCATTAGTTCTTGTTATGTGGCGGAGGTGGTCGCTTACTGTTCGTCTGGAGGACTGGGGGAGCAGCAGGTTTATGGGTCAGCAAGGCCATGTGCAGACCTGGAGGCGGAGAGGAGCAGCGGACGGGCCGGGACGACACAGCAGGACTTTCTGTCGCCTTGAAAACAGACAGTAAACACAACAATATGAGGTTGTCACCTGAATAGATTTTCATGGATTCAAGTCCTTTGTTTTCTCCAAAGACCTCACACACTCCACTGAACCCACCTGCTGGCTCAGGAATTCAGACTTTACCAAGAGACTGTCCACTTCCTGCTCGTTTTAACAACAACCCTTCACACAGGTTCATGCTCGAAAGTTAAGGCTGACGAAAACAACTTTATACATTACCCCACTCGATGATTTAAGCGTGCGTGCATCTTTTGATTTCCCAACCCTGCAAACAGACGCACTGTTAGAACAACAAGCAGCTGCACTACTAGTACACGCTGCAGAACACAAAATCATGCTGGTCACATCGCACCCGTCTGTGAACAGGAAGCCTGAATCTCCGTCCTCCAGCGACTCTGCCACTCCTGAATCTCTGGCCACTTTTCTCTGGTACTGTTTCTTCTTCCTGCAGGTTTCTTCTTTTTCTGGCGGCTCCCTCGCCTGAGCTGAATCAGCCTCACGTCGCTGTGAAACTGTCAAACAAAGAGCTGAGGGACATCATGACAGATCCTATAGATTTGTGAAAAAGCATCTTTTATTTATTTGAATTTAACATTTTTTGTCGATGTTCTATCTAAACCCATCATTTGCCTAGAACTGGTTAATGGTGAAGATGTGGAAGTTTTGGTAAAATAGTCTGATTAAACATTTCTGAATGTTTTAAACTCAGAATTTTAAACTCATTAAATGTTGGTGCTGATAGGGAGAATTTTTTTTATTACTTAGTATTTTGCTTTGCCTCTGCACCAGTGACAGCCAGGGCCTGAGGCATCTTCTCGGGTTGTTTGTCCATCTGTTCCATTCTTGTGAACACAATATCTCAAGAGTGCTTGAAGGGAATTTCTTCAAGTTTAGTACAAACAGTCACGAGGACTTAGAGATGAACTGATTAAATTCCAGAGGTCAAAGGTCTCAGTGACCTTAAATGAATCTGGAAACAAAAATTGTGGAGACAGAAGCTGTACTGGTCGGCACAGGCATACAACATACAGTGTGGTATTTCTATTTTATCACTATCATTCACTCAGATATACAATGTTTACATTTCACTGGTTTCTCAGAGAAAAATTCAGATGAAAAAAATCAGGCAGGTGTAGGAAACTGATATCTCTGTCTGTTTGAATTGTGTTGCAGCTTGATTGAATTCAAGGCGACTCTTAGAGGAGGTTACACTTTACTGAGTGCTTTTCTTTTTTACATTTACTCTTTGTGTTACTTGAATATAGCTACTAAGATTTGTCTTGATGCCTTATACAGAGAATTCATAGCAGCATAAACTAATCTAATCTAAAACATGATATATTTTATATCAGCAGAACTTCTCAAAAAAATTAATTTGATTATTTCCTTGTTTGCTTTTTGTTTGCCTTGTTATAAATTCCCAGAAAAGATTTGCACATAATGACATATTTAAGAAGACAGATGAACGATGTCGGAGCAGGAACTTGTCTCAGTGCTGAAGTTGTGCTTTATGTTGTGTTTTTACCTTTTCTCAGTGACACAGGCTGCTTTACTCTTTGACTCTGAGCCTTGCTTGGACAGCACTGCTCTGTACACTCAGGCTTGATGGACGACAGAGCCTCCTCTTCATGTTCTTCATCTCCCTCTGAAGAACTGTAGCTATGTTCTTCTTCTTCTTCTTCTTCTTCTTCGTCCTCCTCCTCCTCTTCTTCCAGGCTTGGGGTGGGAGGTGGCTGATGGGAACACTGGGGGATGAGCGGGAATTTCACAGCCTCCTTTGTCCTGGTTGGCAGGCTGCATGTCTTGGGAGGGTGGTGATAGTTGGGGGGGTCCGGGGAGCTGCTGCTGGTGTCCAGGCTGAGGGAACAAACGCTGCTGCTGTTCTCCACGGTGGACAGCAGGTAAAGCTCCGGCTGTGGGGCCTGTAAACAGGAGACATCACAGTATATCACCCGTTGACAACTGAGGATTAATATAATGCAGAAATTCATTATTCAAAAAATAGCAGTGCTGAGAGAATAAAAAACATAAAGATTTAAAGATAAAAGTCACACAATAAGAGATGAACCCTAATTTATTGGTTAGCCAATACATTTTAGCCGATATACGTCTTTAATACCAATAAATTACCAAAACAGACATGGTATGAGTGTTTATGATAAAAACAAATATGAAAAAATACAAAATATTTTCCTAATCCAAGTTTGATATATTTCTTTTTATTTGTAGTTATTAAAAATACATTTTATTCATAAACTGTAAAATATTAAGCCTTCTTTGACATTAGGGTTTGATAACGACACCTTAGGAATCACTACATTTTTAAAAATATATATATATTGGCTGATATATCTGTATTTTTTACTCATTAATATCGGCATCGGCCCCAAAAAAATCCATATTGGTCAGGCTCTAATATTAACAACACCCATTTATAATGAACTTGCTGTGACATGAGTATGTTCAGGTTTTTAAACATTTTTGCTGTTGTATGTATTCTTCGTGATACAAAGTCTTACTGAAGATATAAAACAAAACTAAAAATCAGGAAGATGAATTGTACATACATACGGTGGAGCAAATGTTTTCACTTTCAGATCCTTCTCCTGTTTGCTTTTAACCTGTAAGAGGAAGGAATCTGGTTTCTGCAGGGCAGTAAAAACAAAGAGCTTTCACACACACATTTTACACCCTATATAGTGAGGCAGCCTGAGCAGTGACCTTGTTAATCACACTGTCGGCTTTGTGTCTCTCTGCTGTCTGCCTGTTGAAACACAGGCAGCTTTAGAAACAGAGAAGTGCAGTGAAGAGCCAGCTGCTCTCACCAGTGCAAGACTGCGGCCCACACATTTCAGGAAGGAGAATTTGTTGATGCTCCTCTCGGTGCCAAGCAGAGCGCCCAGATCGCTCCTCAGACTTTTCAGGGTGACATCTGGATAAACTCTAAAATAATAAAAAAAAAAAAAAAAATTACATAACGGATCTGTAACAGAACATTCAGAAGGTTAAGAAAGGTATTGTTTATGTTACGTTTAATGCGCAAACAGGAAAGAGCTGAGGGTAGTTTAGGTTTCTGTAGGTTTTAGTGACCCAATATAGTCTGAATTCAAGTGCCTGTAACTCAGCTATTTTACAAGGTCATACCATCATTGCATTTTATTCTATTTTTCATTTTATCATTTTACACACTTCTATCAATTTTATTTGTATTGTTTTTCTTCTTTTAAGACATTTTACAATTTTTTCCAGATTACAGATGGATCCTTTTTTGATCTTAGTCATTTTACCTGTTTTATTCTACCCTTTCTGATCTCTTTTATTTGTTTTGAAATTAGATTTTTTTAAAAAATCTCTTGATTGATTTTTCAGTGTGTGATGTTATCAATGATGTATTGTTTCAAGTTTTCATTTTTTTTTACATATCTGAATCGTATGTGTGTATCTATGTTTTAAATATATTTGTTATGCATCGAAATAAGGCTAAAACTTTGATCCTCACACAGACACACACACACACAGACCTGATGAAGCCTGCAGATATGAAGCTCTCGATGGCTTCAGCTGGTACTTTATTGAGCTTCACGTTCCACTGGTCGTCTGGCACATAGAGCACATGGAGCTCCACAAACTACACACATGATTAAACACAGACACCATGAGCCAAGTGTTCATGTATTCCTGTGAAGAGTTCAATCCCCTGAACATACCTTGCAACTGACCGGTCTTCTGTCCCCTGGATATCTGACGGACTCACACGACAGCTCCATCATCGGTGCAGCTCAGCATCAGGAGAAAACACTCAGAGAAAACACTCCTGGAGAGGGTGAGTGTCTGTATTGGGTTGATCCGCAGGAGGGCCCCCTGCCCATTGAAGGCGTTGACTGCTTGGTAACAATCTGCTGTGATCAAACACAGTGAGTTTTCCACTGCACTTGGTTTTATGAGAGTGCCAGCAGTGGTTGCTCTGGTGCTGAGGATGACAACTGCAGTGAAGAGAGGGAGCTGATCACATCTGAGAGTTAACACTGTTCTCCATTATTCTTTCATGTATTACTTTGTATTAATGAAAAAAATATATATTAATGACTGTAACTATTTAGACTTTATTAATATCTGGCTGTCACTCACAGATCTCAATCACAAATTGGAATTTTAATTCAATCAAGAAATGAAGGTTTGTTTAATTTATTCAATCAGGTATAAATATCTAGTTTAACATGCTTCATGATTAATGATATGTAATAAAAGTCACATAATACACTGATAACAATGTCTTGGTTTGTTCTCTGTAGTTGAGGCTCCTCCACTAGAGGTTGCGATTTAAATAGAACTGGTGCTGCCTTTAGGAAATGTGGGAGTTGTCACAGTCAGAGAAAATTATTATTTTATATTCTATTTTCTCCCACCAAAATAGGACAAATACTCCATCATTACATTTAAAAATTTGTTTTAAAAGATAACAAGGTTTGATTGCGGGGATAGATCGTTCAAATGGCATCTATATTGTGTAAACATTTAAATTGTACCATTTTACCTGTGTTGTTGGGCATATTTTTATTTCGCTCTGTTACTCTACTATTTCTTGAATTGTGGAATTTGAATGAATTTCATTGTCTGAATAAAGTGGATTTGAAAAAAGCTCTTAACTAGTTTAAAATGGTTCATTTACTAACCCAACAGAGTCCCTGAAGTCTAGAATATATTTTTCTTGTTGTGTTTCCAAGATAATAACTTGTACATGTAGTATAACAACATTTTGTGCAAACAAGAGACTTCATTCTCTTATGATGATCGTGTCATGTGCACAAGTTATGTCTTGTGCACCCAAGATAATGTGTGCACATAAAGTAAAAGAAAATCTTGTGAAAATTGCATAAATGACTTAGATTATTATGTCATGCACATGAGTTATATCCTGTGTACGAAACATAATAACTTGTGCACATAATTGCACTTGCATAAACCTGTAGATTAACTATACCGTTCGTACAAGATAATAACTTGCACAATGTAATTTTAGATTTTATGCGCACAACTTATCTGGAAAAAGGACTTCCTACTTTTTAACTGGAAATCTTAAAACTACCTAATAGTTTCTGTTGATCAGCTTTATCAAGATAAATGAAATATTACAATACAAGAAAAAAGACAGGCGACGTATAGGACAGAAATAAAACGCAATAAACAAATATGTCCAACAAGCGCTTTTCGTGTGAAATAATAAAGTGTTTGAATTTCCGGGCCGTGAAGGCAGCACTGGTGGACCCTCCTTTAAAGAAAACCGGAAGCCGCTGGAAGAGAAGGAAGCTGCCTCCGAACAACCACTAGTTATAAAAGTTCTACATTTGTGTCACCAAAGTTTGTCTCGACTATGTCCGGATCATCCAACATCGTAGCGATGAGGAAGATCGTCCAGCAGCTGCGGCTCGAAGCCGGAATCCACAGAGTCAAGGTAACGGTGGAGCTCGGCTCTTTCTGGGCGTGTGTTGTTTCCCAGCTCGGTGAAAGTTCCTCCGGTTGTTGTTGAAGGAGGAGAACTCTCTCAGCGGATCTAAGCTGTGGTTGTCCGCCACATGCTAACTAAGCTAATCCCTCGGTGTGTCCTCCACAGGTGTCCCAGGCCGCCTCCGACCTGCAGCAGTTCTGCCTGCAGAACGCCCAGCAGGACCCTCTGCTCACCGGCATGTCCTCCAGCAACAACCCGTTCAGACCACAGAAAGTCTGCTCCTTCCTATAGCAGCCTCCTGCCCCCCGTGAGTGACAGCTAACCACATCTGCACTGCTCTGTTGTAGCTCTGCCAGAGGGGAAGCAGTTCAGCTCAGGGTAGTTCCAGAGGCACAGAGAGCAGCGAGAGAGAAAGAAGGACATCAGTGATGTCCACGAACAGACACATGATGAAGTGTGTATGACAGAAGGACAGTGGACAGGCTGTGGAAACTGAAGAACACTTATTAATACTGAAAGTGATTAAAGTGCATTGAGCTAAGTAATACAGACCTGAATACAGTTAAAGGGATAGTACAACTCAAAATGGTGTTTGAGTCCACAAAACACTTCTGGAGTCTCAGGGGTAACAGTGTGGCCCTAAACTGTAATTAGGGCCAACAACAGTTTGTTTGCTTGTTTAAAAAGTAAAACATAAATCCAACTTTTGCTTTTAATACTTTCATTTATTTATTTTGCAAATTGGAATCTGATTTTCTAAACATGTCACATAAGTGTCAGAGTAGAAACAAAGTCAAAAGATATAAGACATAACAAAACACTGTAAGATAAGCAGTAGCTTGTTTATCAGATATTTATTACATTTAAACCTCATCCCAGCATTCTTGATGCCATTTTACAGCTAATCTGTTGTACATGGAAATAAATGGAAACACTTACGAAGTTTTTTTTTTTTTTATAGATTTCAGCTGATTCTTGTGTCGAACACTGTCGTTTTCATCACTAATGCACTTACATCTCTGCAGGTTGGGGACATTGTGGTGCCTTGTGGAACTGAGCTGCAGGATCCTGCATCATGGACTGGAACCGTCTCAGGAGTTATAGGAAATTTCGGGACAAACGACTAACTTAAGATATTTTTTTAACTCTTGCCTTTGTAAAATCTGATACGGAAACATTTCCAGGTGCTTAGGTGGCACAGTAGATGTCTTAACCTACTCGCTTTAAAGTAACTAGCCCACATCAACACACACTGTGCCTTTTGAATTGTACATGTTTTTCCATTCATGACTGATCCTGAGAAAAAGAATGAATGGTATTTCCATAGTTGAAAGTTTTATTAAAAGTATACACATATTTAGAAATATGTTCCATTTGTTACTGTTTCATTGTGGCCACTTTCAAACAGCTTGTGAAGAAACATTTCATAGGAATTGAACACAACACAACATCCACATGAACATGCAGGTCAGAGGTTTCAGATTAATGGGGCGACTGCGTGTCTCCTCTCTGGCGTCCAACAACAGACAGGGTGAAGGTCCTCGCCATTCGCGACAGGTTCTTGTCTCATATTTAGTTTCCAAAAGTCTTTGCAGGTGCACCTTCAGAGAAATCGATATTCAAGAAGACTCAAGATGTAATCAGGAAGTAAGCCTGGTCCTCCTCAAAGCATCTGGGGCATCAGCTATAAAGTCAGTTTGTGTAAATCCACTGCAGTATCTTAATAACTGAATCCATCTCATGTACTCAAAGCTGGAACTTCCGTCTGCAGGCATCCATCTCGTGACGCTGGAAACAAAAAGTAAACTTTTTTAAAGCTATTTGCTAAACAAGAAAAGCCAGAGGTGATGTTGGTTTAAATACATGTGAGAATCAATGGATGACTAAGCAAATATCTCCGTATGTATGCAAATTTAGGCAAACACGAATAAAGTTTCACTGGGTTTATCAACAACAATATGTTGAAGAATAAAACTACGTGTTCCTCTGACATCACACATCACTGGTTCAACCTTTATAGCTCTTCCATTGTCTCCAAATATAAAATAAGTGCAGAGAGACTGACCTTCAGGACCCACTCATACTCTCCAAACTTTGAGTCAAAGGTGCCTTTCTGTAGAGAGCGCAGTTTGAGGGTGAAGCGTGGTCCCAGCTCCTGAATGCCAACTTTCTTCTCATTCTTGAAGATGTACCTTCACAGACAAAGAATGATTTATTTAACCTTTAAAATCGAAGACAAATCTTTACAAAGGATCAGTAATGAAGCTTGTATTAGAGGAGCGAAAGTCCAGCTCAACTCAGACTTCACATTCTAAACATTCACCTGTGGAATCTGAAAAAGATGAAGTCTCTCTGGTTGTGGAAGGTGGCCGCCTGTCGACCTATGAACTGGGGGTCCTGAGGAAAGAGAGCAGCGAACAGCCGGCCGATGCTGTGACCGAGGCGCGTGGAGAAGTTGTTGAGGATCACCTCTGGTGAGTGTTCGGTGGGGTCTTTACCTCGTCTCTGCACAGAGAAAGTCATCACACGATGCTGGGATTACAAAGCAAAGACTGATCCTGAACTGAACATTTTTTGTATAGTTGCACACAAATCTTTAAACCCAGAAGCTTAAAATCGAATGAAAATACGTCGGCTTTTCATCAGGGGCATTTTTTTTTTACTTCAACGAAAATCAAAAATCTAACAGTGAAAAGAGTCTGGATTTATGTACTCACCTTTATCTCCTTCCGAAGTCGAACACTGCTGACCTTGAAGTGTGCAGTCGGCCCGTCAGGAAGGTGACAGAGAACCAAACCGTCTAAAAGTTGCAGTTAAGAAAGTCGACCTTCAGAAAGTCTGAACACCCGAAGCTCACTTCAGTAAAAGCACCAAACAGAACTCTAATTTTTTATCCAAACTACAGTATCGTGATAAAGACTTAATAATGTAAAGCATTGTAGGACATATCCTCCTCTCTGCTAATACAGCTGCCTGTCAGTTAGGATACTCGGCATTTTGCGATCCTCGTTGACGACCATGAGGTAGGTGAAGTTCCTGGCGATGCACTGTGGAATGACCCTCTTCAGGGCCAAACCTCGTCTGTAGTACACGTGGGCGTTAGGGATCACTGTGGCCAGCTGCTCGCAAAACTTCACCGTCCTCTGCAAGACACATGTCAGCATGTTTAACACAAAAATGTCTGAAAAGGACAAGACAGATAATTTACCATGAACAGCTGCCAATTGTCCACCTTGGGACAATCTCATAAAATGCATATCAATATAAACAGAAGACAGTGTAATCTAATTTAGGGTCATGACTGATCATGTATGTCAACTATGTCTAACTATAAGTACAACGGTTTAGAATGGTCATGTTGTTGAAAGTGGATGATGCAATCTCAGTAAATGTTTAAGCAGATTATTATCTGATTATCTTTTGTATATTCATAACATGAAAATAAAGTGATAAAATGGAAAACTTTGTTTTTTTAATTTGTCACAATAGTCCCACTTAGTCGACATATGCTGAGCAGGAGGGCACTAGAATGGCACAAACCTCCGCCAACAACAGTCCCCTTAAAATCAAATGTCAGCTATTTTTCATCAAAATCTCTGCATCACTTCTTGTGAAATTCACATCTCTTAATTAAGTCAGTGAAAAATATCCTGATCCATTTGTACTTGTTCCTGAACCCTATACAAACTGTTCACACTGTATTACCACCTTTACCCGTGGAGTGTCATTCCAAAAGGTCAAGAGCAATCTCAGCTGTTCTCACTGAAATGATAAAGTGCAACAGAATGTGAAAATGCCACTCACCCCTCTGGGTCTGTCTGATGTTGTGATGAGCACTTTGGGATTTGTGAGCCCGTTGAAATAAGCAGAAAACTCATCAGTTCCTTCGTCAAATGCGACCTGAGGACGAGAGAAAAACACAAACATGAATTCATGCACATTCATCACAAATACAACCTGAGATCATTGAACAAGGTCTTGGTCCGCACCTCTTCATCCTCTGGGTCAACTGTTGTCTCGTCGTACACCCGCTGGTTTTCTATCGTCTTCGGGACTTCTTTAGGTGGTGCCTACACAAGAGACAGAATATATGAAATAATCAATACAAATGCATCGTCTTGATTTATTGTAAAAATAATTGACTGATATTTGCAACGTTGGGAAAATAACAGAAAAAAAAACTCACCTTGTCACCGAGAGCCTCCCTTTCTTTTTTCTTCTTTTTCTTCAGTTGCATCTTTTGCTAAAGTATAAAAACAGTTCAAGTCAATGAGGAACTTATATTTACTGCAGCATTGGCAGGTGATACATTTGTCAGAAAATGATCTGCTGACAATCTAGTTTCTGTTTCTATCATTTTACTGTTTAGGTTCCTATTTAAGAATGTGGGTGTTTTCTGAGTAATTGAACTTCCATGTTTAATCTATGTACTGATCTGATACCACGTCTTTAATGTATTCTAGTTACATCCAAATATAACAGCAACTTTCTCTTCCCAGAAGTCACTGGTTCACCGCTCCAAAACAGAAACAGAAAGACTTTTTCAGTGGTGACACCAGTGTTCTCAATTACAACAATAGCGCTGCACTGTAACAGGTGTTTAAAAGGAGGTCATTGTTGTGTATTGCTCCATTTTGTGTTTTTCAGTTATGAATGTCAAACTCGATGATATAAGTTCTCTAGCATTTATTCTTTACAACTTTATCTCTGCTATATCTCCTGTAAGGTTTATTAGGTCGTCACAAACACACTCAGGATAACACAGTAATATTGAAGATTAGGATTTCACCCATGCATTTCGTTGACATTGGTATTGTGCATGTGTCTGACCCTGCAAAGATCAACAACCTTATAAAGAATCAGTAATGCGAAGCCACTTTAGACGAGTAATACTATCTCAGCAATGACTCTAAGTTTCTGGAGGTGATTTTTTAGCAACTTTAGCTGTTGTGATCACTCAAAGTGATGTTATTTCTTATGATAAATAAATGTGGAGCTGGAATAGAGCCTGGGAACCATCTCTCTGTGAGCTCATATCTCACTAAATCAGGATCACGTGAGGTTTTAGCTCCATGTGTTCATGTCCAGGTTGTCTTTGATGTCTGTGATGAAGTGAGCTGGCCTGAACTGTCTGACCTCCATGTTGTTTTCTCTTTACCTTCCTCTTCTCCTGCTTCAGCTTCATGAACATGAAGTGTCTCCTCTGCTTGTTCTTGATTTCAGACACACTGAAGGTGGGGGGAAAGGCTTCCTCGCTCTTCTCCATCTTCTTCTCATCCTCCTCTTCCTCCACCTTCCTCTGCGCTGCGCTCCCTTCTCCATTTCCATTCCTCTTCTTCTTTGGTGTCTTTTTGTTCTTCTTCTTCCCGGTGTTGTCCTGACTTACTTGGACTTCTGTGATGTCCATCTCGTGTCAGCGGTCTGTCTTATTTTGCTTTTTCGGGTTTCACGTGTGCTGCTGCCGGATGTCCGCTCGTGGCTTCACTTCCGGGGGACACGAGGTGATCGACTTGTGGCGGTCGAGAAAACTATGGGGACACCTGTTGGTGAGGAGGAAAAACAGCAGTCCAACTTCACAACAGGCCTTACTCATACATTACTGTAGAAAGTACATTTGAAAGTATATGTACTTTACTTCAGGAGTTTTATGTTTGGGTGCTCTTCACTTTGTCTCCACTACATGTATATGTACTTTCCACCACTTTTTTTTTTACAAAGCACTGTGTTACACGTTGGATTCCTGGACTTACACTAAAATGAGTATGTCCTCCACTACTGCACATTTGCAGGTAAAACATCAACAAGTAATGAATTTTTAAAAGCATCATTTTTCGTTTAACCCTTAAAACCCCTTAAACCCTTTTTTTTTTTACCACTATATTAAGCTGGATGTGCATGCCTCTGAAATACATGGAAACCATTTAAGTTTCCAGCTTCATTTATTTACTTCAAGAGTTTCACCTGTGACTTTAGAGAAACAGTGGTGCAAACAGGAGGCCGCATTATCACAGAGCAGTCAGAGTTCTGCATTTCTGTGAAGCCCAGAATAAAAATCATCCTGTAGTGCAACACAACTAGTTCCTCTTTCAAAAATAGTTATAACTGCAGGAAACATCTTAATAAAATGGCACCCTGTACAATCCATGCAGTGTAACTATATAATGTATACTCTTTATTTATATTATTATTATTTAACTTATCTCTTTTCCTGATCATACGAAGCACAAAAACAAAAGACAAGGTACACTCAAAAATAAGAGACAACAAAAACACAACACACAAAATTCTTAACTCAAATTTGGTATGAATGATTTGAAAAAAAACTTGAAAACAGACATATAAGAAATCTAACACAATAAGACAAAATACACCTAAATATTATTGAAAAGAAATAAAATATAATAAAGAATATGACAAAATTCCTTATTCAGGTTCAAAGCTCAGTGAGTCCAGAATAATGAAAATTTAAAGCAATGCGTAATTTTTCACCGGCAGATATCAATGATTTAATGTCTTGAGGTTCATGTAAAGACATTTATTAAAATACTGCTAATCAAGCTATTAAAACACATTATTATCTTTAACTTCTTAAAATATAATTTAAAAGATAACAATGTAGTAAAATCTTTGATTTGTAGAAATAAACCACACAGACAATAAAAGAAAGTGTTGATCATACACTAAAACAAACAAACCAAAACATTTGTGTATAACTTCTAAAATTAATACAGTACAACAAAACCCATTTCTGGATATGTCACATCAGTTTCAGAGTGTTGTGCCTTTAGAGCTCTCTGTACTGAGCATCAGCATGGGCACGTTCACGGTCACATGGCTCATACTGTCTGATCAGTGAATAGAAGGCGTCACCAGGCACAACATCGTTGGTGCATATGGCTCCTCCACCTCTGCCCATCTGACTCTTCTCCCTGTTCATGTCGGCGATGCAGGTCCAGCCACCGTCGGGCGTCACGCTCCACTTGGAGTGATCCACAGTGTCCGCGAAGGGCTGCATTTTGGGAGGTTGGACCTCCTTCACATTGTACACATGGTAAGAGATGCTGCAGTTAGAAGACAGAGGGCTACGCATCTTTCCCCAGCTCTTGACGTACAGATTCTGCCTCACACTGTTTACGATAAGGCCAGAGTAAAGATCTGCGAAGAAACAAAGCAGAACATATAGACCATGAAAAAAAGAAACACACATTTTTATAAGTACATAAAAAAACACAACTGCGATATGTACACTGAAAAAAGAAAGTTGTTGGACCAACTCAAAAATTAACTTCTATGGTAAAACAAATGCATAGAAAGAAATAATATTAAAACATTTGCTAGATTTACTTTGAAAAAACTCAATTAATTTGTGTGACTTATTTATGGGCCTCTCAAACCCAGGATACCAGTACATAGAGTAAACTCAGAGGAAGATTATCTCCACACATCTGTGGCATGGGACACAAGTTGAGTTAGAGGAAGTTACATAATATCTGTGTCGAGTTCATCATCAACCTAATTTTTGCGTTTTTAGACTGCAAACACTCACCATCCCCAAATCGTTTGTATTTTGCAAAGCTGCGGAACTTGTGTCCGTTCACCGACGTCAGCGTCACCTCTCTAGACCAGGGCGGCTTCTTTGGGTAGCAGCTTCTCTGTGCCACACATTGCAGCTCTTTTTGAAAGGTTTGGGGAATTTCAGAGTCGTATGAATAAGCGTGGATGTAGAAGAGCTGCAGTCCTGAGAATTTAGATACAAGATGTTTTTGTTTAATGTGAGTGTCATCCTTTTGGGAAATTAAAAAATTGCATTGACCTACCTATTTCTTTAAAAGCATCATAGGAGTAAGTCACACATATAAATGTTTGACCGTTAGCGTTTCCATTTTGTGGCCAGAAGTCTTTCTTGCGATATGTTGGAAATTTTGGTGTGCTGTGTGAGAGCCAGACTCCGGTTTGTCTGTCCAACATCACGACTCCTTCAGGACATAAAAATTAAAAAAACCAGAAGAAAACAGAAACACAGCTTTGTTATATTGGGATGTTTGTTTTGCTTTGAAAAGAATAAAGTGAAAGATTACTCCTCCCACCTTTACTGTGGCCAAATGATGCAGGAGCAATATATGGATCTGGAGGCTGATCGTTATAGAGCATATATCCAAATCCTTCCATCTACAAAAAAGACAATGACTCTGTTATGATTTGTGACAGAAGGCTGTCATGCTAGAAAGACACTTATTACTGTAATGGAAATTTTACATTAGTGTATGTATAATTGCATGAGCAGACATGTATGTGCAGGACTGACTAAATTGTTTATCTAAAAGGGCAAGTTTAAGGTTTACGATGATGGCTTAAGAGTACATTGCCACCACATTACCTTTCTGTCGTAGAAGTCAAGAAGAGGTCTCAGGGTGTTGGCCAGGGTGCCAGAGCCACTGTTGATTTTCTCCCTGCTACGTTTCCAACCATTGCTGCTCTCATCCATGTACAGATATGACAGACCTCCGTCATTCACATTGGGCAACTTGTATAAGATGTACCTAATGGCACAGAGAGAAATGCATTTTTTTCATGCTTCCAGCTGATGACGAGAATAGTTGAAAATATAAACTGCCACAATTCGAAGTTTCCACTCACCAGTCGACCTCGTTCCCGTCGTCATTCCTGCAGCTCACGTCTGATTCGCAGGCTTGAAAAAATAGCCCAGTGCTAAAGAGGAATCTTATCACTGTTCTCTGAAATAGTCAAACATAGTCCTGAAGTCACAATTTCAGTCCAGTCCAACTGAGAAATTTAAATTTAATTTATGTTTGATGACTACTTGAGAAAACATGTTCAGGGCT